AAAAAAAAAAAAAAAAAAAAAAAAAAAAACCCAAACAAGAAAGGAAGAAAATAAACGCATGAATAAAAAAATTAAATCAGTCCTAATTGAGTCATGTAATAATTTATGATTTTGTGTTGACTTTATATCTTTCCTAGCCGATATATTAAACTCTATCTATACTCTTTATCATTTCTTAAAAGCTAATAGTAGCTGTTGAACAAGAAGAAATTCCCAGACTTCAGGCTTTATATGAGAGGGGCCTGCAGAATGGTGTCCGGGGCTTGAGGCTGATCCAGCAGGAGGATATAAAAAAGAAGGAGCCGTATTGCAGGGTAAGTGATTCACTGGCCTCATGCATGCGGCCAAAGGGTGTTTTCACTTAGGGCTCAGTCCTTTTGTGTCATACGAAGCCTTGTAGATGATCCTGTCACAGAAGCAGCGAGATGACAGACACCAGATGCCACAAACAGAACATCTGATTTTTTGTTTCCCTTTGAGAAAATACCAGGCCTGACCAAAAAGAAAGGCAAGAAGAGGTCTGAGACCGTATGTCATGTTTGGAAAACCCTGAACAAGGGCGTGTGGTTGGAACGCAGGTTGTGGGGAGAGATAAGAGATGAGACTGGGAAGGCAGGATTGGGCCCATGAAAGGGAACTGACGTTCATGCCAGTCACTTTGAAGTTTTTCCAGTAGACGTGGAGACCCACTGAAAATGTTTGAGGAGGATAGCTCTGTGTTTTAGGAAAGTGTATGTGGCATGAATGAGAAGGTAGTGTTGTAGAGTGTCTGGCTTAAAGCATACAGTGGGGAAACCCACCTTTATTCTTTGAAGAAGACATGAATAATACTGTAATACAGACATTCCTTGTTTAATGACCTACCTGTTTAACAACTGGTTGGACTCACAACTGAAGCCTGCTGTTTGGACTCACTCCGCATTGCTCGGACTTACCACCCATCTTTTTTGATGTGTACCATTTTGTATATCTTGTTTATAGAGTCTCAATGCCTTTTTTGGTACAGTAGACCTTGTTTTTTCAGTACTGTAATTTTTGGCAATTGTACTGTACAGTACTATAATTTTATGTTCTGTTATACATGACAGTACTGCATGTCAGAGTTATCCAAATAAAAGCAGAGCCCCAAGGGGCTGGGGATTTAGCCCAGCGGCACAGCACCTGTGTGGTAAGCGCAAGGTTGTGAGTTCGATTCCCAGTACCGGAAGAAAAACAACCACAAAAAAGCAGAGCCCCAAGTGGGAATTTCCCTTGACCGTTTCTTTGTTCTGTATACAGAAATATACATCGTATATGCAGTTCCTTTTAGCAACTAATTCATCTGATGCACTTGTGGCTGGAACATAACTTGGTCACTAAACGAGGAGCATCTGCAGTTACTCCGCTTATCAGCTTTCTTTGGTAACCGTTCAGAGACCATTGCAATGACTGTTCTGATAATGGCTATATTTCCTGTACTCCTTCCTTCATTTTATTGTTTGTATACATGACTCAGACTCCAGATATTTGTCTTTAGGAAGCGTGACCTTGCTGGCCATGGTGGTACACACCTGTAATCCCAGCACTTAGGAGGCTGAGGCAGGAGAATTTCCATGAGTTTAAGGCCAGCCTGAACTACATAGTGTACATAGTATATAGTGAGTACTATGTACAGGCTATATATACATAGCCTGAACTACAAGTGTACATAGTACATAGTGAGACCCTGTCTCAAAAAAACAAACCAAAAAAAAAAAGAGAAGAAGCATGACCTTGAACTCACCACCAGGTAATGCTTACCAAAACCTTAATTTCCTCAGTGCCAGTGCCAGTGACACATGCCTGTAATACCAGCCACTCGTTAGGCCAAGGAGGATCACAGGTTGAAGCCAGCCTGAGCAACTGTAGCAAGACGCTGTCTCAAAATAAAATTTTAAAGGCCTGGAGGTGTAATTAGTGGTAGAGCACTTGCCTAGTATGTTCAGGGCACGGAGTTCCATCACCAGTACTGAAAACAAAGCAAAACAAAAGTTGGATTTGAGAAACCCTAATTATGGGAGGAACCCCAGTGGGTGTGTTAATCACTTACTGTGCTACATCTGTTGAGACCGTCAGAGGGGCACCCCTGCCTTGCAGCGTTTTGCTTCCCCACCCTCCTCCCTGCCCTACATCCTGCATTTGCCCACTTCGCCACTTTGAGTTGTGCTTTGGTTTTACAGCTTCAGCCTATGGGGAAGGTCGTTGTGTCACTCACTGTGGCTTCTGCAGTGGTTGACTACATACGTTGCTGTGTTACACAACATCTTGCTCTGAGAACTGTCAGGAGAAATTACTCCCAGCTCTTCTGAGAATAGTTTTGTTCCTCCTAAGCACAGGTTGCTTACTTTCGTTTTTATTTTATGGACACTAAATCATTTAACTGATTGCATGGTCCTGTTTGCATTGGCTACAGTGACACTCAGAGACAAATTTGTTTCCCTTCCTGCCAAATAGCTAGAGTCGTAAGTGTACATTTTTATTTTTATGTACTAACATCCCTCTTCATCTTTGCACCCTCATTTTTTGTGTGCTCCAATTTTTTGGAATCATGTCATACAGCAGATTCTAAGACCATAGATTCATGAGTTTGTACAAAGAATGGCCAGCATTGATACAAAAAAAGAGATAATCCCCAGCCTTGGAGGACTCACCTCATACTCTCCAGGAGTATGTTACCCTAAATGGTAACCACAATCCTGACCTCTTACCGCATAGGTTATTGAATTTATGTTTGTGGAATCATATGGTATGTGCTCTTTTATCGTCTTTTGTGTCTTTTTTATTCAGTATTATGAAAGTTGTCCATACTGGTGCATGTAGTCATAGTTTGTTGCCATTGTCATGTATCTAATGCTGTCTATTATGTGAACGTAGCATGATCTGTTCTGCTGGTGGTGGGGATTAGGATAGTTTTTCAATGGGGAGCCATTCCAAATGGTATGTCTGTGACCTTTCACATGTTTCAGTGAATACATGTTTGTATTTCTGTCAGGCAGATACCTAGGAAAGAAATACCTAGGTTGCAATTTTTATATGCATATATTTCCAAAGTATGTGTTCCAGTTGGTAGTCTCATCAGTAGTGTGTAGAGTTCCAGCTGCTCCACAACCTCACTACCACTTACTATTTGTTTTCATTTTAACCATTCTGGTGGGTATGTAAGACAGTTTGAGTGTCCCTCGTATGAAGTGGACAAGATCAGGAATGTTTCAGATTTCAGAGTTTTTCAGATTTTGAAATATTTGCATAGGCTTTATCACTTGAGCATCCTGTAGCTTAACTAGTAGTGTTACATTATGCTTTTAATGTGTATTTGCCCAGTGGCTCAAAGTTATATACCTGTTCATATGCTAATGTTGACCATTTGGGTATTTTCTTTTATGAAGTACCTGTTTGACTTTTTGGCCTATTTTCCTATTGGGCTTACTGTTTTTCTTATAATTATTAATTCTTAATAATTTTAGAGGCTCACTATATACTACAGTTTGGATGAATTTTTTTGCACATATATGTATGTTTGTAATATATGTATATACCTAAATATGTATTACAGATATCTTTCACCTCTCTGTAACTTGTCTTTTCACTTTAATAGTGTCTTTAGGTGAACAGAAGTTCTAAATATTAGTTTAGTCATTTTAGCAATTTATGCATCTGTTTTTCTTTTATGTTTAGTACTTTTTGTTTTCTGTTTGAGAAATCTTTGCCTATTGCAAGGTCTTGAAAATATTCTGTTTTTTGTAAAATTTTTATTGTTTTACTTTTCACATTTAGATCTATAATTCATGTGGAATTGATTTTTATATATGCTATAAACTTCAGAGTACATTTTATTTCCCCCAACAAATATCCAGCTGACCCAGCATCATTTACCACGAAGACCTTTACTCTCCCACTGTATTGCAGTATTCTTTTGCAGTGTCGGGGGACGGTGTTTGGACTCTGTCCTGTCCGCTTGTCTCCTGCACTGCTTCCCAATTCTTCATTGCTGTAGCTCCAGTAAAAAGAAGCCTGGTTAGCTGAGCAGAGGAGGTTGGCTTTGTAGGCAGTTAGGTACTTACAAAAGCAAAAATAAGGAACAAAAAGCAGATCGGTTGTTTTGAAGTTATTTTCCTTTCAGGGTTAGAATAAAGGGAACTTTCTTAGAATGCTGGCTAAAACTGGTCTTTTTGGGATTTTGGCTGTTACCTGTCCGTCCTGATTTCTTGGAAGGTCAAGTAAACAACTTTATCTGGTGCCATGGAACTCCAGCATGAGTAACTCTGTTTTGGTTTGATCTGGCGGTTTTTAGTACAGGAACTCAGTCCAGAACCATGGCTTCCCACACATTGTATTGAACAAGTGCTTCCGGAAAGTGCGTTAGTCTTGTCACTGTTTCATTATGTGATTCTGGTGGAATTTAAATACAAAACTAAGATGTCAGAACATCATGGGCATGATCCTACCAGGTATTACTTTGGAGAATAAAGTAATTTATAACCTTCAAAAGTGAGTTTTTGACAGTTTTTAAAACTTTTATTTGCTAATGAAAAGCTCTTTAAAATTTAATCACTGGTGTCAAAAAAGAAAAAAGGATATATGAGCTGACTCCACTATAGATTTGGTTGTGATGTGAAAATAACTTAATTTTGGAATTTAAAAAGCAAGATTTCTGGTTTTCTGGTGGCACTGAAATTTGGGAGATTTAGGAGATCATATCTGATTGTTATGTGTTACAGATCCTTGTAAAGAGCTTTAAAGAGGGGCTGGGGATATAGCTCAGCGGCACAAGTGCCTGCCAGGAAAGCTCAAGGTCCCAAGTTGGAGTCCTGGTACTAAAAAAAAAAAAAAAAAAAGCTTTAAAGAGAGAGATAAAAAGGAACTGAAACACATGATTCTTTATATCAGGCTTTATTATTTAAACAAAACAAAATTTTCCGCATATTATAAGCGCTAAACTAGGTCAGGATATTGTTCTTTGCACCTGACATGTGCTCTTGCTAGGTTCTTGGAGAGAATAGATGAAATACGTGTGCATATGTAGTAAAACTACACGTGTGCACATTTCTTTTTGGTCTTACAAAGGAAGAAACTAGCTGTTACTTTCCCACGGTCACAAAGCCCCTAAAGAGTGTCCCACTACAAGAACTGACTCAGAACAGATCTTCTTTTTCTCTGTTCAAAGAAAATTTTCCTGTATGCTATGTGCCAAACACCACAACTTGATAACTTGGGAAAGAGATGCTTCCTGCTTCTCTCTGAGGCCTCTGCAGAAGTGCGATGCTATGGATAATGGCAACTTGTAGTCATTAAGGTGTGAGAATACATAGTAGGAAATGTAATGTGGTTATTTCATAAAAGTGTCCTGAATAAATTCCTCCCTTTCTCCAGACCTCACCTCTGCTTCCAGGAACATTGAGCAGAATTTCTATGGCACAGGAATACTTCTGATTCCCTTAGGACATCTAGAAAAAAGTTTATCAGGGCAGCTCTAAAGGACTTCTTGGACCAGTTCCTTTAAGAAGAAGACTAAGTACTCCCCAGGGGAGACTCTTGGAAAATTTTTAACTGCCTCTGTAAACTTTGCCTTCGGAGGACAACTCCTCACAGCTCTCTGGGCAGATCTTAACTACGCCCTCCGACCTCAGTTCTGCCAATCATTCCACCTTTTCTTTTAATGTTACTGGTCACGCACATGCTTGTTTGTTCCTGTCTCCTGGCTGAGTCTGCTCTCAACTTTCCCTGACCCGCTCGCCTGGCTCTTGCCCACGACCTGCCACGGCCTCAGATGTCAAGCTGTAGCCTGCTGACCTGGCCAGTGCCTGCCCTGCCTCCCGGCTGACCGTCACAGCCAGCCTGTGCTCCAGCCCCATCTCGACTTGGCCGCCTGCGCCCTGCCACCAGTCCCTGGCCGGGGCACTGGGCTGCATGCTGGCAGGGGCTCTCTCCACATTTCCCCAGCGCACGTACGCGAGGGTAGCGGGAACACCAACTTCACTCTAGAGGGAGCAAGGCGAGAAAGAGAAAGAAAAGAAGGAAGACCTTCTAGAGGAGGTCCGTCCAAAGCGGGTGGTGAGGATCCAGAATAGCAAAATTAATTCCTTTAAGGAAGAAAGTTGTTTTCTGATTATAGGGATTTTTTTTAAAAATTAGCTAGCATTATTTCTGTTTGATGTATCATATATGTAATAATCATTAAATTTAGGTATTTAATGGAACAACTTTTTGTGGTTGTTTTTTTTTTGTTAAAACTATCAACTAGGCATAGTGGCATGGGCCTGTAATATTAGCACTCAGGAGGCTGAGGCAGGAGAATCTTGAGTTTGAGAGCAGCCTAAGCTATATTGCGAGTTCCAGGTCAGCCTGGACTGTATTGCAAGATCTGTCTCAAAAGAAAGAAAAAAAAAGACTGTCAATTTTTTCCAAGCAAAGATAATATGTGTTATTCATCAAAATAAAAATGTAAATAAATTCAGCCCCAAATAAAATTTTGAGAAAATCTCATTGGTTGTTGATTACATTGTTTGACTTTTTTCATAATTCTGTCTTAGGGTCTAATGGCTATTGATTGTCCATACACTGGCATTGTGGATTATCGACAGATAGCTTTGTCGTTTGCCCACGATTTCCAAGAAGCAGGTGGCTCTGTCATCACCGATTTTGAAGTGAAAGATATTGAAATGGCCAAAGAAAGCCCTTCCAGCAGTAAAGATGGTAAGCCACCCTCATCTTTCCTGTTGAAAACCTGAACTGACTTTTAGTGAAGTTTCAGAGAGTTTCTGTCTGAGGTGATATGGTAGGAGGCCCACCTGGAGGAGAGCTAGAGGAGGGTGCAAGCCAGAGCGGGTGCAGAGAGACGAGGTGAGAGAGACACCAGGGAACCAGAACTCCTGGGAGGAGCTGGTGCTGAAAGCACCCATCAGACAGTCAGGCTGGTACTAAAATCAGAGCTACCTGGGAAGTGTATGGACAGTTATTCCCCAGCCTCTTCCCTGCCCTGCAGGTGAGAGGTAGAATCTCTCACTGGTGCTTGTTTAAAATACAGATTTTAGCATCATCCTGACCTAGTGACCCTGACTTGGGATACAGGCTTAGGAACAGTGGCAGTTGGTGATTTTTGAGTACTTTCAAGTTTCAGAATAGCAGCCCCCAGCCATAGAAAAGACTCAGACATTCTGCAGCCCCTAACCTTCCGCTTTTTTATTTATTTACTTGCTTGAAGTACTGGGAAGTGAACCCATGCCTTCACACTGAGAGACATCACCAACTTTTTTTTATCTTGAGACAAAGTCTTAAGTGACTAAGTTGCCCAGGCAGGGCTTGAATTGTCCTCCTCAGCTTCCCAGAGTGCTGGGATTATAGGTGTGTGCCACCACACTTGGCTTCCATCTCATTTTAGAGTTTGTTTTTGTTTTTCTTTGAGGACACTTATTTTTTCTTTTAGTCAAATGAAAGATTTATAAGCTTTCTATTTGTTTCAGGAAAATTCAAAGGAGTGAAAAGTAGTGTTCAGTTCTTTTCACCTTGACAGGTTTTAAAGGCATCCTTGGCATCTGAACTATTCAGCCAGTATGCTTTAAAATTCTAGGATGATGAAAAAAATTTTTAAATAAGATCGTTATAGGTAGATAGCATAATGAATTGAATTCGTGATGTAGGTAGATTGTCTTCTTAATTTTCTATATATAAGCTTTTTAAGATCTTAAGATCTCATGTATCTGAGTGGGAACTAATTTTATAAGTGGTCAGTTTATTGTTGGAATTTTTGTGTTATGATAACTCTTGCTTCTCTAAGTAGCCCAGATGCTGCGTGGAATCTGGTGACCAGCATTTGCATAATGCAGTCTTTCGTACTGTAGCTTCATCTCTGGGAAAATTAACACTGAGTTGTGACAGCCCACTGTTCAGTGCCCAGTGAAAACTAGGACTATCTGTTTTGGCATTGAGGTGGGAATGGTTGTAAGTGTAGATTAAACAACTTGAGACAAGCTAAAAAAACTTGTCAATTTTATATATTGTCAAGTATGAATCTGTTTAATCTTGTTACTTGGTAAAAAAAAAACCCTCAGAATGAAAAACTGGGTCCAATTATGACAAAAGAAAGTCACTTACGTTTGGTATTAGTTAAATTTGTTACTAGTCATTTAAGTTGATTAAATAATGATGGTCTGCTTTTACTAAAAAAAAAAAAAAAAATCTTTCACTGATTCTTTGTTTTTCAGGGATGAAATATCCAATTGTGATAAAGAATACAAAGGTAAAGAGTCTTAAGCAAAACTGTTGTCCACGTTCATGCCTTCCTTTAAAAAAAAAAGTTGAATTAACCCACAGGGCTCTGTTTTAAGTCACTGAGTGAAATTTCCCTAATGTAAAAGTAATTCTGAGGGGAATTCTTTTAGAGCAGATTAACAGCCTTCATTTTAAGAAAAATCTCAGCTTGGGAAGTCTTCATGAAGCGGCAGTGCTGGCAAAGAATAGATCGGACTTTAAGGCCACCTGGAGTGTTTATTTTTAAGGCAAAACATAGGTATTTTGTCACTCTGCCAACCCTAGCAATTTGAAGACTGTGGGAGGACACACAGGTTGTGCAGAGGGAGGTGGTCTGTTTTCCTTCAGCTTGGCGTGACCAAAGCAAGAACCATTGAATGGTGTGGAGCACTGGGTCCCTGTGTCCTGGGGACCCATCAGGAGAATAGAGTTCCTTTTGTGTGTGCAGGATTTACTGGAGGAATTAGGCCCTGCACACTGGTGAAGGGCTGGGGATGCAGAGGTCAGAAGGGAGTTGTTTGGTCCGAGGTTCTACATCCTGGGGTCTGATAAGCAGGTGTCCAGCTGTTGACTGGAGAACTGCAGACAGGAAGCTCCTGAGGAGGTCTGTAGGGAGCCTTTGCCTCTGTGTAAACACCCAGGTAGGGGCTGGGGCAGCTGTTCGTCAGTAGGGACAGTAACTGGACACAGAGCTGGATATGGGGCTAGATTTGCTGGGTAGTGGGTGACTGCCACCACGCTGGACAACCTTGGGAAGATGACTGCTGCTTTACTTCTGCCTGCCAGGTTGTGTGAGATCCTGTTTTTGTCAACTTTAAGTTGGAAACATAAAAGAGAAGGGGAGCCTGTCAAGCATATCCCCTAGCTTAATCAGACCAACACAGTACGAATCCTTCTAGTCCACCTCAGCAGTGTAGCATCCATCTGTGCCCCTTATGATCACATTTAGCTTCCAAATAAAAAAGTATTAAAGTTGTGCTTGTGCTTAAAAGGTGTAACTGTGCCTCATAGAACCAAAACCATACTCTGTCCAAAAGAGATACAAGATCCACTGTGTTGTCTTTGGGGGTGTTTGTTCTGAGTCACACTCGCCCTTTGAAATCCTATAACTCAAATACAGTGGTAACGTGGGACTCATCATTAACTGGTTGTGGGAGGTTGACAAGTACTA